AAAGGAAGTACTGTCCTACTGACACAACCCACAGTACTGTTATATATGCATCCAGATTTGATAAAGAGAGCTCAAAGGAGAATAGAAAACTTCCCTGGCTTGGAATCAGAAGGAAATTATAAGGTACCAAACTTTGGTGCATGTAAGGACTTATGAATCAGCTTATTGCTTGCTGGGTAAAAGATAAGACTAGAAGGGGAATGAAGACAACTATGGAATGAAGGTACCAATGTATCCAACCACTGAGTACAAAACTATTAGCTGTCCTAATCTGTGACTATAATTGTAAACCAGTGTAGCTACAGAATTTGCACCATGTCTTGTGCCAACTGCTTTCCTACTGCTTTGGCATCTATGAGGAGCACTGACCAATGTTTTGCTAGTGCTTGTAGTTTTCAATGTGTTTTCTCACAGATCGTATATTCAAAATGTACTTGTGTACAGGAAAAAACACTTTACCAGTACTGCAAAGAGCTTAGCAGAGCTGGCTGATGAAGCCCTAAGCCACCCTCACTGACCAGCGCACACACTGATTCTAGGAAAGGGAAGCAATTAATCAGCTGTGAAGACAGAGAACCATACACAAGCTAATAGGGGAGTGCTCTTGTGATTTGAGGCAATGTCCATACTGTGGTAGCAAAATTTCTTTTGATTACTAAAATACCCTATTTAATGAAGAAATAGCATGCTCTTTTATTGCATTTTAAATGGTCAAGTTGCTTAATAAAAATAGTTACCTCTTGGACAAATCTTGTCTTGTTTATATCTTTAGGCCATTATTGATGCAACACTGCTGCTACTTAAATGAGTCATTAAGAGTTGTGCAATTATAGAGAGATTTTTTTTAAGGTAACTACTGATTATTTACAGAAAATTAACTGTCTAAATTAGTCTTCCTTTAATGGTAGTTCTGCAACAGAGTTATACTGTGGGCTGGGCAGTCAGCATAAAGGAAAAGCAAACCTCCCAAATGTACTGTAAATCTAGACAAAAACTCACAGAAGTGCAACAAAACCCATGTACCAGACCTGTCCCTTAAGCTCTGAATTCAACTGCAAAAGCAGCCAGGGCCTGATGATTCAGAAAACATAAAAAATATAATCGCTTTTTTTGCCTTGCAATTACAACCTAGTTAATTATGTACAACTGTGCAAAGGAAGAGTGTAAGGAAATTCCTTTCTTGAGACTTCCAGCAATTGACTTGTGCCCTGAAGCATGAGATTTGATTACTCATGTAACTTATTTTCCCCAGGGAGTTTATTCTTGATAGCTCTTGTGTGATAGTTCAAGAAAGTTCCAGGACAAGTCAAAAGAACACTCCACTGGTTGAACCCCAACTTATTTTATTACTGATATACATTTCTATTGAGTGCTAAATTAAGACCTTTTTGATTTTTAACTAGGATGACCAGTGTAAGTACAGGGTGTGATTTTTTTTTTCACCAGAATGGTACTGATGAATGCAGTCATCCTCCACATTGCTTTTTGATTTTGCAGATTCCCAACGAGCCTTAAAAATCAAGATTTTTTCATAACCTAGAATCCAGACTGCTACACTGCCTCAAATGTCTTTGAGGAAGTTATAGCAGAGGAATGACTGCTTACTTTGAACTTGTACCCAAAGTTCTGCTTTTCAAGCTATAGACAGGTGGTTCAAAATGCTCTGGTTACATCCTGGAAAACTGAATCCTTATGACTTCAATTGTTGTAACAGGTTTGTTCAAAAAGTGTGCAACTTAATAATCCATTGGTGTGTTGGTGATGCTGGTTTAAGAAACAAAGGTTCAGTCTGAAGCACAACTACTCAGAACTAGCTGTTTCTGTTCTCATCAATCACTCTAATACAAGTAATTTCTGGACCTTTTTCAGAAGACAGAGGCATTGGGAAGGAATAGCTTTCACCTGGATCATTTTCTTGGTCTGGTTTTAATAAATAATTGCATCACCCCACCAAAGAATGTAACAAATCATAGACTATTAATCCAAATGAGTAGTTAAGGCACAAAATGGAAGACACCAGGCCAGTTTTGCCACCAAAGAAAAGGCTGGGTATAGCAGCACCCAGTCATCAATGGGAATCTTTATCTCAACTAGCTTTGTCTGACTGGGAATAGCCTCTCCTCCTGCAGGTAACAAAAGGCTGAACCAACTCCCAGCTGTGGGCTCTGTCTCATTTGGCAGAAATGCAGTCTTGTCCACACCTGATGTGGATAAAATCTGTGAAGGTAAGGGACCAGGTAATGCAGAGGTTGTGACTGCAGATGCCTGCTCAGAGATTACTTCAGTTTTGAAACAGCTGAAGTGATTTCACCTGTTTTACAGAAGCATGGCATTGAAGGATGGTAACAAAATGGCATTTTATTACCATTTGCAGTGCTCCTGATTAAAGCATGCTTTTTGTAAACATTTCCACATTCGATTTCTACTTATATGGATTACCATGGAAACCAAACTTTTATCGGGCATGCTTGCATACTGAAGGGTGGAGAATTTTAAAAGCCTCTGTGATATGCAGTACCATTGATGTTGAAGTATAATTGCCATGAAAACTGTTAATGCTAGCTAGATAGACTGTTGAACCCATTTATGACTTGTAGCTCTCAGGCAAGTTTCCATATACTTTTTCCTGACATTTTTTAAAATAGTAGCATTGCTTCTTTTGCTCCAACAAGAGTTTTCAGCTCTTTAATTTATGGAGGTTCTCTTGTTTCCTAATTTTTAAGTATTTTCTACTAATAAAATGTAAGATGGAGTTTTTGTTGTTATTTTATGTTGCCAGACTCTTGCCTGTTGAACATTACAACTTACCAAGTTATTTCAGAACCTCAGCTATGGCTGAGTACTTATTATTATGTTGAGTACTTATTATTTTAGAAATAAGTCCTATTCTGTATTTGTATTTCTTTTGCTGAAAAGAAACAGATCACACTGATTAAGACAAACTTTTCACAGCATACAGGTAGCAGGGGAAACATATGGTCTACCTTACCCAGCTTTGCTGCCTCCATACCTACAGGGTAGGAACTAAGTGAAGGGATATTTCAGCTGATATATCACAAGTCCTTCAGAGTAACAGTTTGACCGCAAGAGCAAAGTTGCAGCTTTCCATACTTCTAGGCTTCATGGTCCCTAGGGAGATTTTTGCAGACTATTACTTACAGTTTTTCCCACTTAAAAGGAAAAGGAAGATCATGTGAGATGATGGGAAGGCTGGCTGCTTTTGGTTCTGGCTGTGGCAGGATTAAAAGCAATTTTCAGTTCTACCAACTGTGAGCATGCCTGTAACTGCATTTATTACACACATATGCCTTTGTTTTTTAAGTGCCTTGCTTGCTCAGCGAACCAAACAGAAGAGCCAGGTTCAATGCTAGTGGAAAATGAAACACTGGGATATTTGTAGAGGCATCACAGAAGAGACCATCTAGATTCTGGCCTTTTAGAGTAATTAGTCTCAATGCTTGTCTTTTTATAGTAAACTAGAGTGGACACTAGGACAGTCAAGGGCATATTTTTTTAAATATTCTCTAGTATTGTGGGTATCACTATGTAGATTTCAGGTACTAATGAGTTATAACCAAGTTTATATTGTAGTGAAGTTATGGTTCTAGCCAAGTAAAATATCTCCTGGAATACATAAGGCGGGAAGTGTATCACAGCAAACTCCGTTTGCTCGTGGTACACCGGAACAGGCAGCAGCCGCGGCAGTGGCTTACCCGGCTGAGTGCTGGGTGAGCTTTGACCCATCCTGCCGGACCCCTGCTCAGCAGATAAGTGCTGCTATCCCCGAATTCCCTCTTTGGGAAACAGATGGGGAAAGGTAAAGTGACGAGGCCACACAGCATGAAACAAGATCTCTGTGCAGGATACTCTGGCTCACTGCCCTGAGTCCTCCAGGCTGGCTCGCATCTCTCACCGCCGGAGTTTCCTTACCAAGCCTGACACTGCACAGGCACTCGGAAAGCAAAGCTTGGTTATACGCCCTGGGCTGCCAGCAGCCAGTGATCCTGGGCGAGGGACGACCCCCTCCCCGGATTATCCCCTTTTCTTTCCCCCTTGCAACAGCTCCTAGCCCGCAGGATGCTGCCTCTGCCACTGAGCAGTCTCCTGAGCCAGGACCCCTGAAGGTGGGTCCTGGCACCTCCAGCCGCTTGCCAAACACGGGACGGGCCAGACGCGCTGCTCTTGCAAACACTTTTTTGCCGAATTGGTGCTGGTGTGAAAATCCCTCCAGCAAGGACCGGCCGGTCTCACCAGCCCGTTCCCTGCTTTGGAAACAGCAAAGAGCTGGTGGTGGCAGCTACATCCTTCAGTGATGCATGGGGACTGGACAGGGGTCTTTTGGGAGCCCCGTGTGTGTGTATAGGTACGAGTGTGTCTATGTATTACACACATACTTTCATGGGTCTGTTTTTCTCAGGTAAGAGAAAATCTTCAATTTCAGGACCCCTCAGGCAGAGGCAACAGCAGGGCGTGATCCCGGGCTGGGTGAGTGGCAGGGTCGCCCCAGTCAGGGAACGGAGGCAACCCGGCTCCGCTCCGGGATCGGGAGAGCGGAGGGCAGCCCCCTCTGAAACACGGCTTTCCCGGGGATGAGGAGGAGGAAGATGAGGTGGAGGGCAGGCGCAGGTAAAGCGCGCCCCAGGCACGGAAAACGGGGCCCGCGCCCTGCCAGCGCCGCCCTGTTTGCTCAGCTAATCTCGCGGGCAGGAAATTGCCAGGCGACTCATATTTATGGATCGTGAAGAGCTCCACGGTCGCCCCTCCGGGGACATCCCTGTGCCCGTTTCCCGTTCTCGTCCGCCCACCCCCTGCTCCGTCCCTTCCCCCCCGTCGCGGCTGTCCTTTGCCCGCCCCGCTCCCGCGACCCTGGCCTGAGGGGAGCGAACCATTCAGCCCGCGGGGGTGCTCCGGCCCCGCCGGGGGGCGGGCGCTGCGGCAGGGGGCGGCTCCCGGGGGCGGTGGCGTTCCTGCAGCCGGGCGGGCGGCGGAGAGCGGGATGTGTGGGGAGCGGCGGCGGGAGGCGGCGGTGAGTGCTGGGGAAGCGCTGTCCCGCGGGGTGGGTGACGCCCTCTCGGGCCGCCAGGATGGAAAGAGGCGGCAGGGCCCCGCGGGGATGGGGAGAGGGTCCCTCTCGGATACGCAGGAGCCTGGGCTGACGCCGGCTCAGCTGCTTGCAGCCGTCTCCGTTTTTTGGGCTACTTTTAAGGGAGTTTGTGCCACCATCACCCCCATCCACTCCCCCGCCTCCCGTCCCTTCGCACGTCTGACGGGTGAGGGCAGTGGAGTCCCCCCTTGCCGCCCGGCTCTGCAGGGACCCCGCAGCTGATAGAGACGGGGCTCCCTTCCTCCTTATCCCTGTCGTCGCCAGACGCTTCTCCCTCTTTGTCCGGGTGTTTCCCCTGGTTCTGCCGCGTCCCCGGTGGCGAACAAAGCCTCTGTTCCGGGGGCGCCGGGGACATCCGTCCGAGGTCCGAGGAAGCAAGGGAGGAACGGCGGGGCTTGGCTTTGCTTGGTTTGGTTTTCCATCGTAAATAATCTACCTGGTGGAGGGGAAGACGTGGGACAAGGCTCTTTGTCCGCGATCCTTTGTTCGGCTGGTGGTCTATAAGGGCTCCTGCGTCTGTGCGAGGGCTGCCGTGCCGGCGGGCATGGGTTCCCGGCGCTGAGCCGGCGATGGGTGCCGTCTCGGCATCGCTGGAGTTTAGCGACAGAAACCCGGCGTTACGGCGGATCGGCTTGCGGACGGAAATCGGGGGTTTGGGCTCCATCTCCCCTGATAGATTCAGAGCTCCTAAGTTCCCCCTCGTGTAGCCCTGTCAGCAGCCGGGTGGGATTCGGCGGCACCCGGAGCCCCGCGCTCGGTGATGAGTTCAGCTTGGAGATCAGAGCTTTTCTTGGGAAGATATCTGCCCACGATCAGAGGGAGCAGCGGGTTGAAAACTACGGTCCCCGCTCCTTCTCCTGCCCCAAAGCTGCCTGAGGAATTTACCCATGTCCAGAAGTGTAAATAGACTATCTGCGCTTACATAAAGACTCAAGAGATGGCTTTCTGCTCCTGCCACTGAGTGCTTTCTTGATCTCACACACATGGCTTTTGTCACCAGTTCCTTTTTCCCCCAAATGCTTATCTTGTCAACCTGTCATCTTGTCTCTGTGCCTTGACTCTGCACGTGCCCGAATCCTCTGTGTCTGCATCTTCAGGGCATCTGGGTGAACATGTTGCCAGTCAGAACATGGAGAATATCTCATTTTTGTGCCACACCTTCACTCTCTTTTGGAGGAAGAGGGACACAAGAACAACCTTTTTTGCAGATTTTCATGTTTAGTGAACTTTCTAGTTTTTGCATTCTCCATATTCTTGTGGATAATGTTCTCAAAAATAAGTTATTAACATGGGAAAGGATCAGAGATGGGAGGAAGAATGGAATTGCAAAGGGTGAAGATGGGCTTGCTTTCCCACAGCAGAAGGAAGCAGTGTAGTAAAGAAAGGAGATTAAGTGATGAGAAGATGGGAGAGCTCACTGAGATAAGTTAAAGGAAGAAGGAGGGTTAACTTATCTCAGTGAGCTACCTTTGCTGTCATGGGGAGGGGTAGTCTGAACTAACCGGGTTACAGAAAAAGAGATGCTTTTAGGGCTGTCAAGTAGTGACATCTTACCCTTTCCATATCGTTCATTTTACACAGTTCCTTTAACACACCAGTAATTTATTCTGCTTCCATTTTGACAAATGCTAAATCAACTCATTAGTGTGTCTGTTTTTACTGAGGAAATGGAAATCTTTGCCATCAGCCAGGGCAGGAAGAGTGGCCATTTTTTTTCCATATCAGTTACTGTCTATGCTTATCAGATACAATTATCAACCATACCCTTGGAAGTAGTCAAAGGCATCATTTGACTATTGTTGAGAAGCAACAAAGCCCATCATGAAAAATTTAAAGTATTTTGGGTTTAGATAGGAAGTGGAGATTGGGTGAGGTAAAGGTAGCTGATCCATCTTGAGGCTGGAGTTGGATAAGAAGGATGGAAGATATTTAAGATCTTTTTTGTCTTTTGCACTTGAAGATCCAGAGAAAAGCTGAATTAATCAAAGTAGGTATGGGCAAGTGCTGATGATTGTTAATGAAGAGATTAATGCTGTGTTCACTGTGTATTACTTCTATTTTAATTTGTTAAAATGAATGGTTAAATCTGGTGTGTAATAACTGCCAGCAAGGCAAACAGTGTTTTCCACTGAATTAAACAAGCAGCTATAAAATTATGTTCTGGGTGTTTTGAGCAGGTGCTGTTCATTTAGGATTTGTTTTAGACTGGTGGAGCACATCCAAGATGCCACAGAAATCCAAGGGGATTTTTCCCCTGTAGAAAGAAGGTCCTCCAGAGACTACAGTGTAGAGTGAACTGTGTAAATATGACCAAGATTGAGGCTTTTTTTCTTGCTCGGGTCTTGTGCAGGTGGGGTCAGTTTTTAAGTGAACCACTTCATTTAACTTCCTTTGTTATATAGTAAATTGTGTAACTGCAGGTGTAGCACCTCTGTGCCTCACCTGAGAGAACACAGTCCTGGGACCTGCTGATAAATGCTGCCCCGTGTTGGCACAGGCAGACCCATGGCTTGGCAGCACAGCAGCCACAGCGGTGCCATTCAAGCTGTCACTGCCATGGTGGGGTTTGCCAAGCATGTGTGATGAGAAGCATTTAGTCTGGGGGCATGCTTGCTGCCCTGAGACTGCTGGGAAATGAAGAAGCATTAAAGAGCTAGAGGGGACATTTGGAAATATGGGGCAAACATCCCGGGAAGGAGACAAATTGAGGAGAAAAGGATGAGCAAAACAGGAGAGACAGAAGCTGTCAGAGTAAATGGGCACTAGAGAGAGCTGATTAATGGAAGGAAGTGACAGGCACAAAGTGGCAGTAAAAGAAATCAGCACAGAGGAAAGCAGATCACGGGCAAAGGTTGCCTGAGAGTGGGAAAATGCAGTAGATGGGAGAAAAATGGTAAGGACATGCAAGAAGAAAAAAGAATAAGGGTGGATGAAGCTGTTTTGATTAGTTTTTCTATCTGCTTAGATTTTCTGGGCCTTACCTACCTGTTCTCATTGTATTTGTCAGGAGTGCCCTAGGGGCAAATTTGTCATGTCAAATAGGGTGGGAACAGAGAAACTTCTCTTTAAGGTCTTTCTGCTCTTGTACAGACAGAAATTCTGCTCCTGCTTGATATGAATTTGGATACATAATTGTTTTGCACTCAATACCCTTCCTGAAATTTTAGATTAAGAAAATCTGTTTTATTGAGCTTCAGGAATGAGAAATTGGTCTAGAGTATTTAAATGTATTTATTTGTACACCAGCTATGTTGTTTGGTTTGGGTTTTCTTAGTCTGCACAGTAAGCAGTCGCAGCCCAACAGCAGAGCTTTTGATTTGCCATCTCTGTGTGAAACTTTAAAGTTTCAGTTTGCAAATCTTTTGAGCATACTCAACTTTTCAATAGCAAAGGAGTTAATGAAATAGCATCAGAATGATACCAGGGAGCTTGTCACTACTGTCATGAGATGATACAGTCGTTGGGTCAGATAACTGACTCTGGAACTTAACTACTAGAAAGGTAGTACCAAAATAGAAAAGATGAGTATGGCTGGAGTTTGGCTTGTCCTCTGTCAACCCTATCTTTCTGCATGATGAAAGGAGTTCAGTTTTAACAGAAATTTCTTCTAGTATATTTCTACCTGTCTGGGGCTTTTGTTCCAGCAGAAAAGGATTAACCCTCCTTCTTCCTTTAACTTATCTCAGTGAGCTACTCCAGATGAAACAGTGGTTAGTGTGACTCTAAGGTAAGGAGGGGCAGTGATGTCTACTAAAGTAATGCTGTTTGAGTAGGTGGTCTAATATCTTGTCTTACCAAATGCATGTGATTTAGTTTAGATTCATTGAAATCAGTGCTTTGACAGTTTCAGTTTCAGGTAAGAGTAGCTATGTTATGGCACAAAAGTTAGAAAGCTTCAGCATTTTCCCTAGCATTTTTATTTGTGTCTCATATGTCAATGGCTCTACCCTCAGTTTGTAGTCACCTAGCCATAATGTTTACATAGTAATGAATGTTTTCATTTTTGATGCATATTTAAAATTGTCAGCTGTCGTGACCTGATTAAAATTATTATGTCCATCTATTGGAAAGAGCAATTGATGGGCAATGCCTGCAACATCAATCTGTATCAAATAGGAGAGAATCATGTTATAACAATAAGACAGGATAATTAAAAATGTCATATTTAAGTGCAATTTTTGGAGTAGTCATGTGGGTTGTTACAGTAAAACATATGTGGTTTATGAGTGGGATAATGTTACTCAACACAACAGGTGTTTCCTGTTGCACTATTTTATTTCTTCTTCTTCTCCAGTATCAACATGATAATTTCTCAGAGAAAGAGGTAAGCCATAAGAGCGACTTCCTCTGCCACTCCCTTTTCCACATCGGAAACCTGCAGGGTTGAAAGGGAGTGACTTAGTCAAATATGATTCACAGATATTTGATTTTTAATTCATTTAGTTTTGCTGAAGGTGCCAAGCTGTGAGTTTTAGGAACTAAAACAATCTGCCTATAAGCAAGCCTTATGCTCACTTGCATGCAAAGACCTATGTGTTGCAGGATTTATATCTTGAAAAGACAGGGACTGAACAGATTTCAGGACTATGCTGGCAAGAAGTTAGGTGTAGTTTGGGGTCTAGTGTATTATGTTGTGGGGTAGGAGGAGGAGGAAATTGAGAAGGATGTTTAGGGCAACCTTTAGATCACAGCCTTGCTGAGTTGTCCAGTTTTTGGCAGAGATGACTTTGCTGTCTCATGAAGATGTGTCCATTCATGGGTACAGAGTCTCCACCAAATTATGCAGGTGCCTTTCTGTGAATATATTGTTTTAGTAAGACAGTGGGCTTGAGGAAAGGTGAATTTCCACATAAGTGTTTCAGAGGTAAAGAGTAGATTCCAGTGAGTTTTTCTTTGCCATTGAGCCTATCAAGACTTTTATT